CAGATTTGAACTGTGCTTGCAGTGTGGAAAAATGCATTTCTTTCATACCTATAACCACACATGCTATACACAAGACCTTGCCTAAACAACAGCAGAAAGCAAAAATTCCTTTCCTAAGTACATCTAATAATCTAAGACAACGTTTTCAAACATGACTGGCTGAAGTCCACCACTAAAATAAAACTAACCTTACTTTCAACACTGCCATTTTTTATGTAGGAAAGAGTTACGGTTAGAAGTGTTAATCTCATTTAAATGCCGACATTCTGGTCTCTGCCTTCAACTTTGTGCAGCTGTTAAGCGTATGCTTCTCGGTGACCACTGTCCTCTTACAAAAAAGATTTGCTTTTCATCCTGAATGCATTACCAACAACAGCATAGCAGTAAACCGAAGGGTATGTGTAATCCTTGCTCTGAAGCAGATACGGAATCCAGAAGAATAATTTGTCTGTGAAAGGACATGACTAGTTAGTACAAACAAAATAATATATTGGTCCATCTGGCTTACCTAGAGGATGCTGAATTTGGTCCTCTGGGTTTTTTTCCATTTTAGTAGTACAGAAATAAATACCACACTTTGACTGGCCAAGTGCAATTCTTTAAAAGCCCAACAAACAAAAACAGAAAGTGAAATAAGCAATTCTCTCAATTTCATAACACAGCCCTAAAGAAAAAAAAAAAGTAAGTACTTTTATGTTCCTTTTCAGGAACAAATTTATCTTTAGGTACTGATTTTGATCTCAAACATGGCTCATATAAAATATTTTTAGATAAAAAGCGTACAGAAGCCAGTCATTATCAATACTAGGTGATGGTCTGGCAACTAAATTTTCTAGCTATATATCCAAATAAATTAAATAGTTTGTTATTGTTTCTGACCCAAGAAAGTGAAGTACTATATTGTTCTAGGAAACCTAAGTTATATAAGCGCAGTGCACTTCACAGTGCAATTTTTGAAAAACATTTATATTTTTTGAAGTTACTGCAAAAAACCAATATAAATAATTTCTTCAATGTTAAAAGGCCTTTGAATGAAAGTTCTTAGATATTGTGTTAATTAAAATCCATCTCGGATTCACTGAAACTGTATGAGCATAACACCTAACAACTTGATAGCGAGCTGCAAGAACTAAAGAACACTTACTCATTTATCCATGGTTGATACTTAACAAGACCATGAACAAAGAAATCTAATACAGTTGCTTCAGTAGCAACAGCTATTAAAAATGCAATGAAGAGTAACTATGTCTTAGTGACACTAGGCTTTTTGTCCATTTCGATGGAATCTGGAGCAATAAAACTGACACCAACTCCAAGGCTTGAGCGTCTCAAAGATAATTCGGAGGGAGGAATATGACGTAGCTCTCGGCGAGATAGTTTTACTGGAGTTACTCCTTGAAACTGCGTTACACTTTCTCGTCTCTGGATGACAGAAGGTAGCTGAGGATAAGATTTTGAAGGCTGAGCTTCATCTGTTCCTGTTTTGTCATCACTAGTGCTTGACAAACATTCTTTGTTGCACCCAAATTCTGAAACATCTTCTCCAAGCTTGTACGAATTCTGCTGTGCTCTTAAAATACTTGCTCTGTCTGTTTCTTTTATTTTCCCTGGTCGACTATTGGTTTCAGGGTTAAGTGTCGACTTGAATTCTTCAGAAGCAATTTCTGCTTCATCTTGACTGGATGCCTTATCACCAGCACTGTTATCTAAAATGAAATTTATCAGGAGATAAATAGCTAAAAGTTAAAACTCTTCTGAGTGCCTGCCATCAAGAAATATTAGTTAGTCAATACGGTTTTACAGCATCAGTAACTTGTAGTGTGAATGTGGTAAAAAATTATCAGCACCTCACATTTTGTCCTTTCTATTAAAAAGTTTGTCATCTACAGAAACATCAGAGGTATTAGCTGTTACTCTCCTCTGACTAGGTGCTGGTAATAGAAGTCTCACCGTTCTAACTTGTAATGTATCCTAGTAGGCAGTCTTAAAACAACTGAACCATGACAGTCAAATATGAAATTATTCATATATTCAAAGGCAGTCAGCAATTACACTAGGGCAACACACAGAACACATTCTGCAAATTTGACTGTAATGTACACACAGGGCTTTTATTATTTTTAAAGCTCAGCAACAAATTACAAAGTGTTTTTATTACATTGTATTGCAGCATGCCTCAAAATGTATTCAAAGGAAAAATAACTAAATACAGAGTATTTCTTATAAAACTTACGAACATATGTATTTGAAAAAGTTGGAAATTCACAGGGATCTTCTCCCTTCTTCTCCTTGCTACAATTTGGCTGGGATGGTTGTCTTCCCACATGGCTACATGTCCTGAACTACATGCTTATTTGTATACCAGACACAGAATAGTCTTTCCCACGCTCATTTAAAATCCAACCTCTAGAATATTCATGTTCACAGTTTGACAGTGTACTTTATAGTAATGAATGTGTTGGCTCGTTACCCAGCCTGGAGGGCAAGGGCTGAGCCTTAATTCACTGTGGGAGCAGCAGGTATGTGATCAGCATCTATGTGTTAGGAAGGCATGGCACTGCCCGAGTGGAAAGAAACAGAAGCATCCATTGGGAGGAAGAACCAGTCATGCTGAGCCTTAAGAAGAAATACAGGGCCAAGAAGGCTGTATCGTGCATATGAGGTATCGGTGGTGGCATCAAGAGGTGTGAGACAAGCAAAATAGTGACACAAATTGAACCACCTTTTCTCCTCCACCTGAATAGCTCTATTGTAGGTTTGGATTCTGGCAAGTAGGACATGGAACAATTATAGTAGCAGTTGGTCATTGGTTTGTTTTTTGGGTTTGTTTTGGTTTGCGGTTTTTTTTGTGTCAAAGCACAGAATCACATTAGAAAGCTCTTTTTTTTTCCCTACAAGTGTATAAATCCTCTCTTTTAGCCTTAGTAACTAACTAAAGTAAGTTAGTAACTGAAAGTATGGAATTCTTCACTAACAATCTCCCAGTAAGTAACTTTTATAAAATCAAGTGCTGGGAGCAGCCTATATAAAAGCATGGCATATGACAAAGCTGTTAGTTACAACGTCCTTCAGACACGTTCAGATAGTAAAATTCCTTTTTCTTAATCACAACAGTTGGAGGTTGTAGACGCTGAAATTATGTTAGAATCCAGAGAAAACAGAACAAGAATTTAAACTAGTGGTATACCACTGTTACAGCTACAAACCAATGTTGTCTCTCCTTTGAAACTGGGGAAGAGGTGTAATATATTCCTGGAGAACAGTTAGTTCAGTAAAGATATGGGTTTTATGTCTATTTGATATACTTCTGTGTGTTCACCACCCTTCAAATGGTCTACTGACAATTGCATAAATATTTTAAGATAATATACTTACATTTAGTGGATCCCAATAATTGATGGGATGACTCTCCAAAGAGGCCCTTCAATTTCTTCTTCAGCTCTCTGCTGGTTTTCTTATAGAAAAATAAGTCTTTTTCCAGTTGCTGGACTTTTACTTCATACCCTTTCAAGGTTTCTGCAATACCTTCACTATCTTGTTCTAGGACAAGTAAAACTAGTTTAAGAACCAAATATCTCTGTGCAAAAAATCAAGATGCCCAACTAGACAGAGTATGTCTTGTATCTTGGTGACACTTTGCTTGCAGTGTGTACATTTTAACTAGTATGACACAGGATCAAAAAGGCCATGCCAACCCCACTTGTCAGTTTTAATAGGAGTATTTAGAAGATCAAGATCAGCAGGACCCATATCTTTCAACTTTCCAATATCAGCAAATTCAGTATGAAAATACAATTCTGATACTGCTTTAAAAAATACTGTTTTCCACTGATACAGACACCATGTGTCTGTTCCTCAGCATCCTACACAACATCAGAATTAGTGACAGCCAAAATAATATCTCTGAACCTTATTCTTTTTTTTTTCAGTTGGAATATAGTATTTCTCAGTAGTGATATACTTGCTGTATAATCTCCCCCAAGAAGCAAATACCTTTGAAATGATGTAATATTAACTGGAGTTTTTTCTCATGTTCTTTGTGTTGTAGGGTCAGCTGCCTGTCACACTGCAACTTGACGTGTTCAAGTGCAGATTCTAATTCACGTATTATGTTTTCCTGGTCTATGACCTTCATTTCCTGTTCTTCAATCTGCAGTTGTAATTTACGTTCAGACTCACGTAGGCCAACAATCTAAGAAAGAAATACACTTCTTTTGATTTATCAAACCATTTTCATAAAAGCTTTTAGCTTTCTGCTTAACAGATTAAAGCATACAAAAGCAATGGTCTCTAAAAGCCGTAAGCTTATATTGGAAACAGACTTGCCCGCTGCTACAAGTTCACACTTTAGAAATGAGCTCTGTACATTCTGATCATATGGACTAGTGGATTTTTTTAATACCCTGTGCAGAATTTAAACTGAAACAACAGTGTTTTCCTGATTCTGGAAAACTTCCAACTTGCATCCCACAGACAACTTGTTCACAAAATCACCCAAGGTTCACCCAAGGTCACAAAGACACACCATATCCTAATGCATTTCATTTTGTTTCCAGATGTCAGTGTGATTCTTCAGTATTTGGGTGTACACACTGCAGGCAGTCTATGCAAAAAGAGTTTATACTGGATTTAGAAAAAAAAATAGGAATACTAGCCTGAGCTTTATGAAGCCTGCAGCTGGGAATAATTTCAGTACAACAACACTATTTAAATATGTTGCTGCTCCAAAAGTTAGCAACACAGAGCACTGGAAAGGAGCAAGGAAATTTCCAGATTTGTAGCACCTTTTAAGCTAATGACCCCAAAACAAGATATACAAAGTTAACACACAAGTATCCTATTTAGGTTAATGTAAAAATTAAAAATATCTGAATTAATAGCAGATGTATGTAACCTGAAGAGATTTTCACCAAAAGCTTGTTAAATTTCTCTTTATTTCTTGACACCATTTCATTTCATTATCTAGAATAGTAACAGAAAATAGGATAAAATATTATTCATTAGCCAAAACAAACCTTGTTGAAATATTTGAAGAGGATAGCTCTGAGCTCTGCAGCAGACAGGGAAACTAGTTTTCCTATTACATTATTCTCACTCTGTGAAAGAATCTGAGAAGATGACCTAAGCAAGTGCTGGCGATTCTGAATACTTTCGTTCTTGTAATCAATAGCAGCCTCCAGGGCTTCAATTCCTTCTTCCAGCTGGAAAAGGACGTGTTCTTCCTACAGAGAAACACATGAGTGAGATCTTTAAAAAAAAAAAGTGTAGAATTAATCTTTCTATACGTAAGACATTCTTTAACTTCATTCTCAAGAGTGAAACTAAACTTAAGGGCAAAACAAACTAGTAGTAGTACAGAGAATGGAATGGGAAGAATAAGAGGTAGAATACAAATCTACAACATTTGTCTTTTTCTGCCACAGTACCCCTTCCATAATACAGAGATCAATCAAATGGTTCATCACAAATGTCATGTTTCCCTTTTTATCCTTCCTTCATCCTCTCCACAGTTTGACTTCTACTATTATCTTTTTGGTTGTGCTAGTTTTCTGTTGGATTAGTGAATGAATGAGGTCAGTAAGGAGTTTGGTGACCATAACTTGTGTAGGAAAGTGGCAGAAATGCATGCACTGAAACACTGCAGAAGATGTTGAGGAGTGAGGCAAGTAGGGTTCTTTCTGGCACATTATCACCTCAGCCACATGCCCATACTGCTTCTCAAGACCTAAAAATAATCTGTGCATTTTATATGAATTTACTGTATCTGCAGCATAATTATACTGATTAACTCAAGTGTGGACCATCCAGGTAGTATGACTTATTTTCACTGTAAAAATCTGGAGGCCTTCAGGTGAAGTTTGCTTTTTCACAAAATCCTATTAAAAAAATCAAGGGGCATCACTGTACGAGCACATTGCCTTGTTCTATGTCCTGACATAAAAATATCTGCCTATGATAAACTGATGAACTTCCAGTTCCCTTATTTCTGATTATATGATCCTTAGGCCAGTGAAGTTTGTCAAGACACTAGCTGAATTAAGTCCCTCTGAACATAAACTTTGTTCGCAGGTATGCAAGTAGTGCTATCATAGCAGTATTTTAACATTGCTATTCCCAAAAGTACCCAACCTCAGTTCCCTGGTGCTAGCTTGTCTAATATTTGGAGACATTTTAGGTTCTGATTGGAACGCTTTATTATACAACACTACCTAAAACCTGTATTCATCTCAGAGGTGCTTACTTACTTCAGTTGACAACACTTTACCATCTTTCAGTTTCTCATCCACACTCCTCCTTCTTCTGAGCAGCTGATCCCTTTCCATCTGGAGAACCTGAATTTTTTCCAAAATGTCTGTCTTATCTTCAGTGGTGCTGCCCTGAAGCTGCATACCTTTATCACACAGTTCCCGATCCAGCATACTTAAGCGAGTAGACAATTTCATACTATCTTTGTTTAAAGCCTAAAAAACACCACAGCAACCATAGATATAAAACTGAGATACTCCTTCCAGTAAGAAAAATATAGGTGAGACCGTCACATTCTGCAGTGAAAGACTTGCCTGCTTCTTGCAACGGGACCCATTTATTTTGAGTAGACAGCTACCATAAAATTTACTATTTACTCAAAATATGAAAGAAAACAAAAACGCTCAACGTGCAGTTTTCTACATACTAAAAATTAAAGGGGCTAGTCATTGTAAGTGGCAATGATACTTCAATTTCTATTCACTTTTGCTACTGAAAAATAAATAACGCAAAATGTTTCCCTGTCATGTTCTCTAGTTTGCAAAAGGACGGAGTCATTTTTAGATACCGTATTATTTAATGCTCCGCAATGACAGAATTCCACAGTTCAGATTTTGTTTTGTTTTGTTTTGTTGTTGGAATTTTGGGGCGAAAAAGTGAATAAAAATCACTATTCTGTGTTATTCACATTTTAAATGTTGATTTGCTCAAGCCACACAAAAACTTCATGGCAGTCGTAGAAACACAGGTCACATGGCTTGAGCCTCTTCGGCTATCTGCCTTCCCCCCTCCCCAGTCTTTCAGTCAGCACTATAACTGTGGCGAGTTTCATGTTTTTTCTTAAATCACCTGGCTAGATCTCAGTTTCTTGATTTCCAGATGGCTTTTCTCTTGCAACAGTGCTTCTTTTTTGGCTACAATGGCTTCTCTTTTCTTTAAATCTTCTTCTAGTTCTGCTAACTGTTGGTGCTGTTGGAGAATTCTTTCCATTTCTTCATCCAGCCATTTCTTTTGCTCTTCTAATTTCTGAAGTTGAAATAGAGATCCAGAGAGCATTAACCAGGACTTTTTGGGTCAGAATTTTATGATTATGTTTTTCCTTTTTTAGAATAACTGATAAAACTGTAGAAGAAATTGACATTTCTAATGTTAACATTAATTCTGCAACAGCATCTTGACTCAGAATAATACAGAAATTGGACTGACTTAAAAAGAGGCTCAGCAATGTTACATTGCTACATCTTGTATAAACAAATTTGTATCAGATGCATTTAATGAAATGTATTCTTTTTCTAAGAACAGTTATATATTGATAGATGTCTTCTATATAATCACAGCAACTAGGTTTGGAAGGTACCACAAGAATTCAGCTAGCCCATCCTCATTGCACTATAGTTGCCCAAGACCAGCTATTTGTGGAAAAACATTAAGTGACAAGAAACTATGATGTTGACAGAAAGAAAGACAGTAAATGAGAGCTCTGATCCTGCTAGCACAGTCCATTACAAATTTGTTCTGAAGCCACAGTTTATCAGTGGATATATTCCTGGTAAGGCTAAAAAGTTGCCTTTATTTAACTTTTAAAACTTCTTTTCACCTTTAAAGACTTTGGGTAACTCATGAAACTCTCATGTTCCAGTGTCCACATCTGAAATAATGTAGGTTACACTGCTGCATAGGGCACCTACTTTTCTAACCCTGTTAGGAACAACCGAAACCATAGACCTCTGTCATTTATATCAGAGGGGAAAACAAACAAACCAACCAACCATGGAATGTTTGTAACAGAGCTCATCAGGATCACCCTCAAACCTGCCAGACAACCAAACCTGTTGAATTCTCAGGTGTCTGAATCAGCATCTTTGACAAATCACAGAAAGAAAAGACATTAGAGCTTCTCCTTTCCTTCATTCAAAAAGAGTATAGGAGCTGCTAGACTATACTCCCAATTTTTGCTACAGCAAAAAAGACGACAAAACTATGATGGAATACTCTTCTTCCAAACACTTTACAAAGATGGCTATGGATGAAGAAAGAAATTTTTTTTTCAGGGCCCACACAAATTCAGAATAGATTAGCTACCTGTAGCTTCTGTGAAGATGCCACTGAGTTATTTTTCTTCTTTTTAAATGCAGCAATCTCTTTATCCTTAAGTTTAAGGATCTTCTGTTGTTGCTCCATTTTCAGTTGAAGTTCCTATAAACAAACAAAAAACCCCATTCGTCCTTCCTCAGTCAGTCTGTTTTTAAAATGCATTTAATGTCAGAGTCCACACAAGTATATAATTTGAAACACTAACCCTAAATTTACATGTAAAATTGCAATTCAGGGCTAGACAACATGTAATAAAACAAAACACAAAAAAAAAAGCTGAAGAGAAAGGCAAACAAGATTTCTGTGAAAATGTTTATAGACAATTTCTTCCGGGCATTTGTCAAGAAAGTCATTACTTAAAACTATGGAAAGCCTGGCAGTATAGTTTATTGTCTTTGGGGAAGCAGAGGCAAAATCGGCTCATCTCATTCTTTGTCATAAAGAAATAGGAAGAATCCTACTTTAATTTGTTGCTGGTCCCGCTGAATCTCTGCTTCTAGTTGCTTCTTTTTTTCGCTCTCCTCACACAGTCTCTTCTGTAGCTGGGTCTGCTGATGCTTCATCTGAGCCACGTTCTGCTCTAGTTCTGTTGCTTGTCTCTCACTTTGGTTAGATAATGAAGCCAGATTCTTAGTGTCTTGCTGCTTCTTCTGTAAGGCCTGAACGTTCATGGCAAATTTCAGCTTAATAGCAGGAAAACTTAAAACTAAATTATGACTCAACTTCATTCTTTACTTCACTGAATTCTTAGAGTCAGCAAGACTTAATAACTTCTGCCCAAACAATCACTCGTTATTTCTGTGGTTTCTGAGGTATCTGGTAAAGTTGGCACAGGCAGAATTAATCTCAAGCAACATGACAAGATAGAGATACAGTTCATGCCTGGCAACGCAATGAAAGTAGTAAAATCTAACAGAAATCACAGCTCTGGAAAATGTGCAGAGACATAATGGTGCCAGAATGCTGGTCCCGAGCTCAAGTCACTAAGCCAGCTACCTCTTTCTGTACGGTTGCTTGTCTGACCCACCATTCTAGGACTGAGAGGCACAGAGCACCTAAGCTGGCCCTACACAGGATTTAAACTTAGGTATAGCAGAACTTAAAAGTAGAAGGTCAGTGCCAAACAAATATGACTGTATTGGGCCTGGTCTTGCAAACCATCACAGTGATTTGCTTAGAGCTGGAATTTATATAGTATTTTCATAGAACATCAATTTTATTTACGGCAGGTGATAAACTTGTAACAGTCTCCTTGTGTAGGTTCTTTTATGGTACTACATACAATGGTGTATGAGCACCTCAGATCACCCACCTCTTTCCTGGTTTCTTATCTACCAAGAAAATACTCTATGTATCTAACCACATATACGTTAAATAGCATTCTAAGTACAACAGTATTAAGTTTCTCATTAGCTACTTCAATCTAACCAGCTTCCAATGTGTAAAATCGATGAGAGTCTTACAAGCAGAGCGTTAAGGTTCAAAGGTAATAGTGAGACACAGATTTGAAAATCATAGTGGTCAGATCAGAAATACCTGCACTTTCAACTTAGCTGCATCCATCTTCTTCCGGAACTCTTTTTGTAACTTGGCTTTCTCAGGAATGTCTCTCAGCTCCTTACTCTCCAGCTCCTGAAGACGCTTTTGTGTTTCAGCCAGTTCCATTTTGGCCTGCTCAGATTCTTGCTCCAGTTTAGTCATCTTCAAAGAATATTGCCTGCTTACAGACTGAGCATCCTTACCTTAAAGACAGCATATCCAAATAGTTTAAAAACAGCAGGATAATCAGTTGAAATGTAATACTTAATTCTGTAGTGGAATCATTACTTACTTCATTCTGGCTAAACCAATAATTTATGAGACATTTTCCAACCCTAAAGGAACATACAGTTCCTTTCTAACTCTGAAATGAGATAAAGGAAGGAGTCTTAAATCTGAATTCTTCATGAGTCACCTGATGTCACCAAATAAAGTACCATCTGAGTGCCAAATAAAGTAACATGCTTCTGCCTGCTGTAGTTTTTTGCCAAAATGGCTCTCTTGTATTTCATAAATTTTGCTTTTTCCAGAAGAATATGCCATTTATTTATTACTCAGCTTTCAGCTTAATAATCAGTAAACAACTTTGGATTGTGTTTCTACTCTCTGACTTGCCCTGTTTGGGCGATCTTTCCCAAAGTACTATTTTTGGGGGCACAGAATCTTTCTCGGTGCCAAAAGATAACCTCAAGAGAAGATACACATAGAAGAGTGTGATTGATGGGGTTGAGCAAAGAGATCCTTACCGTCATCATAAGGCTAGTTTCTGTCAGGCATATATATACAAGGACAGATACGTAAGGGATGTAGGCTAACAGGGACACTGACCTTTTCCCTCATCCACTTCTGACTCCTGCTTCTCTACTGCAGTGCTGGGAATGCTTACATTCTCAGCACAGTGATGTATCTTCTCTCCTATCCCAGACACTGTGTGACAAATACATGTCCACGAAGAGATCAGTAGCACTGAGCATACATGAAAAATTACACTATTGGTGGATAAAAGCAATAATCAGCAAAGCACAAAAAATATTTAACAAATACATCTGCGTATCATAGCAGAGTAGGCTGTAATCAAAATTTACAGCCTTCACTGCAATCATAACAAGTAATTAATGAAAGTTATGAATCTTTAAGTTGTTAAAAGTATTCTTGCATAAGATAACTACATAAAAACTAAGACATGCAGGACTTGAGAAGTTTTGTGCCATTTCTTTTGTTTCTGAACAACTTCTTTCTAATTTTCCCTATAGTAGCCAGTTACCTGTTCTTACTAATTCCTTAATAAGTTCCTCTTTCATTTTGATATTAAGTGCAAGTTCTCTTATTTTTTGCTCGGCCTCAGTGAGTCTCAACTCTGAATTCTTTAACTTCTGCATGTTAAAAACATGACTTCTCTGGAGGCTGTCAATCTCTTCACCTTGAAAGAAAACAAAACAATATGGAGATAAAAAATCTGGAGTACACTCTGTGTCCGAAAGATGGTGCTCTGGAATATTGTATGTGTGGAGTTCTTCCATATGAAGTAAAAGAATCCAAGGGAGAGAATAGCACAAAGAGTCTTTTCCCTGCCATGTGTCTAAACGGGAAAAGAAAGGATGGCATGCACTAGCATTTCAAGACCCTAAGTGGGAGGCAAAATATTCCTGAAAGCAATTCAGTGCATCTCTGATAAGATAATAGCATCTATTTTCTTACATTGAAGCAGTACTGAAGATTTATATCTAAAGAGCTTTTTGATGTGTGAAGTGCTTTCTGGCTTATAAGTATTACTTAAACATTAAGGTCACTGACATCAGTTTCAGAAAGGGGAAGAAGACGACAATCTTGAAAGCCTACGTTGAATTATAACCAAAAAAATATTTGTATCAAATACACATATTTTGCTGGGAAAAATAGTTACATGTGCTAAAGACATTCTTGTGTATTCTGATACTGTAATATTTGCTCTCATGACTTCCATTTTACCTGTGGTTGTGTCAGTCTGTAGTGCAGATTTGTTGGATAAACCAGACTTGTCTACTTGACACTTCATGTCACTTAGATCAGAAAGAAAGCACAGAGAAGCCTGTTTTCGTGTCCATGTTCGGTTTATGGAATGCCTAAGGAAGAATGAAAAACTTGCTACCTTCCAAACACACAGGGATTTTTTTTCTTTAAGTTTCATGCAAAGTACCTGATCTTAACAGAGAAGAATCCCAAACTCATATAAGCATTTGTACCTTCTTTCCCATCTACTCCCCACCCCCCCGATCTTCATGGTAGATTCTGGCCCCAAAGATTAATAAAGATTATGCAATCTTTATTAAATCAAAAACCTATATTTATTTTGTAATATTTTGTAATATTTGTAATTGTAATATGCCCAGTTGGTCCCATAAGTTTACCATAAGTAACATCACAAATGGTCTAATATTATGGCAGAATTAGGCAGTGATACTACCTTTGCTATACATTTGTCTGTAACAAAAATTAATGAATAACAAAAAAATTACTGAAATGAAGTTTTATTTTTGCTGTCTGTATTTTCTTCCTCTTCATCGCTCTGATCAGAGAGGTGGCAGTGAAGGACTTTGTCCTGATCTTCTATGTTGCTCAGTATCATCTGGCTGCGAGCACGGAATTCCGCCATTACCCGGGCCAGGGAGAAGGCAGGGGGGCTGGTATACACCTGCCAAAAAGCACACAAAAAAAGTGATGGGTAAAAACGCTTGCAACAATTTAGCCATTCTTTACTGATATTTTAAAAATATTTCAATTTAAAAGTCTGTCATCACCTGAGCTTGTAAGCAAAATTACAGAGGTTTTCTATAATAACTCTGAATACCTTTGTAACAAAAGGTTTTGTGAGAGCTTAGAGCACTTGTTCCAAATGTGAAAGGCACTGTTAGCAACTAATTATCCAACATATTCAATCTATTCGTAAGAATAATCATTCATTTTTTATAATGCGTCATAATTGAACCCTCAAAAACCCCAGGAAAACACCAAAAAAGACTACAGCTTTAGCACTTGTAAGTGATAATTTCAAGCCTAAACATTTTGGACAATTGTGGCATAGCATATGTTGCAAGACATTAAAAAGTAATTTTTCAGTCTTCAATGGGAAGCTAAACAGCATCTGAGAAAGCCACCATAATTTGTCATGTCAAGTCTAATTACTGAACTATAACCATTACAAAGTAAAGGAAAAAAATGTAACATCTGGGTAGACCTTACCTTTCGGGTCTCTGTCCCTGAAGGTGGGTGAAGGGAGTGTAGCAGACTCTTTGTGAGTGGGACGCTGTATGGTCTCCTTGCAGATGCCACAACAGCTGGCCCATCTCCACAAGCACTTGAGAAGTCCAAAGTTTTCACATCTGTAAACTTCTCTAATTTTTCTTTTAGTTGATCAATAAGCATTTGCTGTTCCACCATTTTCTCATTCTCATGGGGAAAAAAGGCAAAGCAAAACTGTTGCTGATCATGAGCTCTGTATCATATTCATCATTTCTAAATTCCTTACAAAGGTCATGAATCTTGTAAATCACTGACCCTAAATTCTTCTGCAGTGCACAAATTCTGCAACAAACTGAAAATTCTATGATATATTATTAACCTAACACACGCACCCCAACTCCAATAAATTTTAGACACATTTTTGCCCAGAAAGACCTATCCCAGGCAAGTTACATTAGCTTATCTAGGCATCTAGTGAGAAGTAGATGACATACTTATCAGCCTGTGTTTGCTTTACATGTGTGTTTATGGAGAAATAAAATGGGAATTCAACAAAAATGTTCAAATGAAATACATGGTCTGAGTCTAATTAATTAAACATGTATACAGACTTCCTCTTCCTCTTTGAGCAGTTCCACTTTAAAGATTATTGTATTAATAAACATAAACACGTACATGATCCCAGAATCCCTTGTACAGGCTACTTCTTTTTCTTCTACCCAGCCTCAAGTTTGCTGGTAACGCTAGTTTGGAGAACTTACTTATCTGCTTCTCCTACAGCAGTCTCTGTACATTGTTCAAAACTATTTATCTTACCTAAATTGATTCATCCATAAGGCCGAGATTATATCCATTTTCAACTCCCTCTATTCCTTTCAATTCTTTTCAAAGTACCTTTAAAATCTGGCCTAGTAACAACAGGAAAGTTGAAGAATAGCTAGTGATAGTCAGCCAAAAGTATTCAATGAAAGATATTTTGCATTCTCCTACTTTGAGTAATATATTTTTATTCATTCTTTAGATCTTCTTTACTTAGACTGCAAGTTCCTTGCAAATTGACATTTTGTTGGAATACCATACATAATATTCCTGTGTCATAGGAAATAGAATATATATATGAATACCATATCTGTTATGATTTTGGAAGCAGTAAAGGCCAACTGATCCATCTTGAAGCTATCCTTAACCCTTTTAAGACTCTTTGTCCCTGATACCATTGTACATACAACCCCACAGTGCAACACCTGATACACGCATATGTGTATAAACATTTAGTATCTATCTAGTATGTGCTACTTTTAAAGTTCTGATTCTATCATGTAACACTAAATTACATATTCCTCTGAATACAACTTAAAATACTTGACAGAAGCGTTTGCTTTTCATTATTCTACCTATTTTATATGTTTTAAAATAACAGTGGCAGTTTAGTGGATTAAGTACCAAAATGGTGCCTGAGAGCTCTCAAGCTTCTCTCCTGCCTCTGATACTGAAACAATCATGATCTTTTACCTACACTGTGACTGGTTCTGTTCATTACCTCTACCTTGTATCCTCCAGAATTTATATAAGCATTATCTCAGTGTAGTAAGTTGACACTATGCTGTACAGGTTAAAAAAAACCAAACAACCTAGCCAGAGGTGACAGAAAAGAAAGTGACAGAGGGAAGAAAAAGACAATGACTAGTATACTTACCTTTCATTCATTGACTCTCCCCAAGCCATCAGCAAAGAAGAGGAAAAAGGAGAAAAAGTAGAATAAGGAGAAGAGTACTAGCTAGCCATGCTTATGCTTTTCTCTTTTAAAAAGTCAGATAATTTATCTATCATCCATGTGACATGCAACACAGGAGAATATTAACTATTCTATTTATGGTCTCCTGGATCTTGAAATGAAACTTACTACCCATCATAATTTCATTAGCAAGCACAAGGTTTAGAGAAGGAAGAAGGCAAGCAGTGTTTCCACTATGTCACTCAGTTTTCTCTAATAGTAAATGCTCAGAAAATTAGGATGAAATTCTGTCTTATAAAATCAAAAGGGAACAATACTCTAATTCTTAATAAAGCTATAACAAAATACGTTTCTATACAACCTTTCAATTAAAGCATTCTATAGGATCTTTATAGTCTTTAAAGGCCTTTCAAATCCTAATTCATTAATTGTCCTGAAACTACTTAGCAATAATACACATCTGGGGAGAGGGGTGCGTGTTATGCTTTAGGAAGCATGGAGAAGGTGAATGATTCACCTCATGTTATACAGGAAGTCTGTGGCACAGCTAGGCTGAGATACAAACTTCAGGAATCACACTATTGTGCTTCATTCACTAGATGAACTCAACTCATTAAGTGATACAGCTCTAATTCAAACAAAATGCCTGTAAGATTGACAGGTAGTTATGTCCAAAAAAGTCCTGAGGGACCTGTCTTGAAATAATGAATGCATTCATACAGTGGAAGGATGGTTCAATACAGATATATGTAATGTGTACCGGAGGAAAAATACCTGTAATCTGTGTGTTTCTTGAGCCTCCTTTAAAGATTCCAGTTGTTCTTCATTTTCCTGTAGTAATGTCTTTATCTGATTCTGCAGTATCTGCAGTTCATGATCCTTCTGGCTAAACACTTCTTCATCCATAGCTAGAGCCTGCTAGATAATAAAAGAAAAGTTCAGCTGGGGAAAAGGGGACATTATTATTCTTACAGTTGGAAAATGAAAAAAGAAAAAACCCAAAACCTCATTTGTTGTTAAAAGATGTGATCAGAACTACAAAGTTTTGAGGTATGTATGGCAAATTGTCTAAGTGGTTATCTGTGGTTTCTACCAGATCCATTGATTTTCTTCTGACAAGTTTCTTTCTTCCGATGGGAATAATGTACCCATAACCAAAGCTACTTTATTGAAGTAGATATCTAAATCCAATTATTCTCTTTAGGGTGCTGTGAGATGTAGCCACAAGATCCCAGCATCAACCATAAGATTAAAACACTTCTCAAATGAAAAAATAAGAACAGCTGTCCTCATTCTGCAACTCAGATAACAGCCTAAAGATTAAAGAAACCATAAGAATGCTTCTTCAGATGTTCTTGTGGATAAATAATCCAATACTGATTGAAGGAGACTTCCAAATGTTACTCTTCCAGAAAGCCTGTAAAAGCCAAATACAAAGTATGGAAACATCATGTCTTATTGTTCTAAAACTGAATACTTCTGTACAACTAGCTTACCAATCTTTCTTCCAAGAAAAGACAACTCTTAATAGCTTTTAAGAACGTACTCAAAAACCTGATGTCTCTTTAGAGAACAGAACTTTTTCCAAAGGCTATGTACCAATGCAAATGTTTCTACTAAACGTAGTTGACAAGTGTATCCTGCCCCCCACTGGTGCTATATTATGCACAGTTGAGCCAACTACAGAAAAAAAGAAGCTTGCACAGGTGTTAGCATGGTGACAGAGTGGGGCAGGATGAAGCGATAGAAAACTAAGGGGCGTATTGTCCATATTGTATTAAACATACATAACTAAAATCAGAATACATTTGCTCAGTTGTATTGGGTGTGTCAAGGGTTTGGTAGGGGTGACTGCAGGGGTGGCGTCTGTGAGAAGAGACCAGGGTTGCCCCATGCCAGACACAGCCGGTTCCAGGCGACTCCAGTGGACCCACTGCAGGGAAGAGCTGAGCCCCTCAGCCAAGATGGTGGCACATCTGTAATAATATATTTAAGAAAGGGCACAAAATGCCAGACAGGCAGAAGAGGAGGGAACCAAAAGAGTAAGAAAGAGCAGAGGGAACACCAGGAGGAAGAGAAGGAGGAGGCGCTCCATGGTGGAGCAGATACCCACACTGCAGCCTAGGGAAGACCCATGCTGGAGCAGATGGATATTCCTGAAAGAACTGCTGCCCATGCAGAGCCCATGCCGAATCAGAGGAAAGGTGCGAGGAGGAAAGAGCAGCAGAGAGAAACCGCTGTGTACTGACCATGAACCACCCCCCTATGTCCCTGTACCACTAGGCAGTGAGGGACAAGAGTATGGAGTGAGGGAGTGAAGATAAGCCTGGAAAAGAGGGGGAGGAAAGGTGGTGTTTTAGTGTTTGTCTTTTTGTTCCCCACTACCCAAATAAGTAATTTTTTTTTAATTGGCTATAAATTAAATAGTTTTTCCCCAATTTGAGACTGTTCTCTAATTGGTAAGCAATCTCCCTGTCTTTATCTCAACCCACAAGCCTTCTCATTCCTGTTCTTCCTATTTTCTCTCCCCGAGTCCTGTGGATGGAGGGGTAACTGAGTGGCTGGGTGGGAGTCTGGCTGTTAGCTATGGCTAACCCACTACATCAGTATTTTTATTTTATGTAAGACAGCATTATCCAGGCAATCATAGCTGTTAGCAAAGAAATATGTATGTACGCACAAGAATAGGTCCACTATTAGCTATTAAATCCGTCCATATGCAAGCCCTGCTCTAGAGTCTGTACTCTCTCGTTTATTTTAGCCTCTCCCTAACCATCTCCTCCTGGCTGTGGATGGCATACTCACCTGGGGAAATTTAAGTTTAAACTCAGCTCTTACACTGTTTCGAACCTGGGAAACAGAGGTTTAAAATAAGCTACAGAAGAAAATCAAAAAGTAAGAAAAAGCTGTGATTTAGATTGATTAAGAACAAAGAGAAGACAGAATTTGTATATGCAATTGCCTGATAACAATCTACAGGCTTATCACAGTTTGGTGTGCAAACTGAATATGGGTGGATGTTATAAAAATCTAACTTGTTGGAGCACTGTCGTCTTCTACTACAAGACAGACTCAGATTAATTTTTCTGAGCTGTTCATCTTACATCAGAACTTCACTCAGTTTCAAACTAGTGTACAAGTATTTCAAGTTACAAAATTAATTTTCATTTGAAGCTCTGTTTATTGTACACTAATCTGCATTATTTTGGATGTTTTTTTATTCATAGTCAACATTTTAACTCAGTACATCCAAAATATGCACTTCCTAAATATATATGGAGATGTTCCCCAAAAGAATTATTTATCTGATCATGTGTCAGTTCTGTGAGGAGACACTATCATGCTTGAGAAGGCTGAGAGCTCTTCTCCCCATAGGTCATTATCTAGCATTATTATCTGCTGTATGAGAAAGAGCTAATCAGAGCTACTGGCATGACAGGATCCTCATGGGATATCTGCATGCTCAGAATCCCATATTTTGTTTTGAAATTCTCATCTCAGCTAGAAAACTGTAAAGAAGTATGATGCCACCAAAAAGCACAAAGCTCATATATAATACAAAAGCAAGTGTTAGAAAAGTGATGAGACAGAGAAATCTGTAAATAGTTTAGAAACTCAGTTAGCTGAAGGCATAGTAAAGAAAAGGAAATGCAGGAGTTCCTGGTGAGGACATTGCTGAAGAAATACAGGTTAGGAAATTACTTAATAGATGAGGTACTTGCAACTTCATAGTATTAGATAGACGAGTACACTACATACATAGTATTAGATAATATTAGATATAAGTTGCAAAACTTAGCCCATGTGTTATCTGTAAGTACACTGATATCTGTGAAAATATCTGCATTGTAGTTATATCTGTAATGCTTCTGACAGACTAATTTATTTGCAGGATTCAAAACAATTTCTGAGTTTACAGGACAACTGAAAGTAGTTGTTGTGGGTTAACCCCAGTAGGCAGCTAAGCACAGTCACTCACTCACCTCCCCCCCACAACCCGAATGGGACAGGGGAAGAGCAAAGAAAGAGTAAAAGCAAGAAAACTTGTGGGTGGAGATAGAAATTGTTCAGTAAGTGAAGGTGAAGTGGAAAAAGAGAGAAAGAAAACAAGACAAGTAGTGCAAAGGCAATCAATGGAAAACCAATCACTCACCACCTCCCACAGGTAGACTGATGTCCAGCCAGCTCCTGAGCAACAGACAGCTAACGTACCTAAGCCCTCCTCCCCTCCCTTTTTATTCCTGAGCGTGTCATATGGCGTGAAATGTCTCTTTGGTTGTGCCAGAAATATCATCTGCCTGGTTGTGCGCACGCCCCAACCTATTCACTGGGGTGGCAGAGGGAGAAACAGAGACAGTCTTGATCTGTGCAAACACTGTTCAGCAAGACCTAAAACACTGGTGTGTTACTAGTGTTGTATTGGTCACAAATCTAAAACACAGCACCCTACAAGCTGCTATGAAGAAAATTAACTCCATCCCATCCAGACCCAGTACAATGTCCACTCCGTATCCCATACCATTTATGTCATGTGCAAGTCCCACACTATCCAATACAACCTCAGTAACCATCCCCCCCTTCTCCTCCTTTGATTTACACACAGGTATCATTCCCTTAGTCTATGGGCCATTCCTGTAAAATATCCGTAAAATGTTCCTAAAATGTCCACTGAGTTCATCCAGTCCATGACCTGGGTTCTGTCTGTTATGGTGGTCACTCAGGACAGGAGAGGCATTGTTGTCTTGAGTTACTGGACATCAAAACCAGCTCAGGCTGGGTCACTGCTGCACTTGCCTGGCTTTTTGCAAGGCTTGTTCTCTGTTGGTTTAGGTGATTCCTGCTGTAGTACTTCCTAAAACATACAACTCAAATCATGGGTTATTTTCCCCCAAGGTTAAATGTCTTGAGGTACACATCAGACTTTCCCATCCTCCTACATTACCCACTAGGTGTACCTGGGTCCTTGAGCAAAAGCAGTCCCACAAACAGGTTTGCTTTTTCCCAAGGGAGGAACAACCCATGCTGTCTTTCCCAGCCAGTTCTCTACAAGCACTACAGGGACCTTATCTCCTTCTACAATACATAGGGTTTTTGTTTGGGCAGGTCCAGGTCGGTTAGCTAATCCTCTGGTATTAATTAGCTAAGTGGCATCTGCTTAATTTGCTGACATGTCCCTGTGCCCATTGCTTTCAGTATAGTCTTTAACAGTCCACTGTATCGTTCAATCTTGCCAGAGGCTGGTGCGTGATAGAGGATGTGATACAGCTGATCAATGCCATATTTCTTGGTCAGGTGCTTATGAGATTGTTCCAGAAATGAGTCCCATTGTCTGACTCAATTCTTCCTGGGATGCCATACCACCACAGAACTTGCTTTTCAAGGCCCAGGACAGTGTTTCAAGCGGTGGTATGGGTACCGTACGGTGTTTTGGGTGGTGGTATGGGTACTGTACTGTCCACTTTTCTTGTTCTGCAATATCTAGGGCCAGCTGGATGGTTTTCGCTTCTGCACATTGACTCGATTTGCCTTTCCCTTCAGCAGCTTCTGCAACTTGTCATGTGGGATTCCACACAGCAGTTTTCCACCTCCAGTAGTTTCCCACAATACGACAGGACCCATCAGTATATGGAGCATATTGTTTCTCATTTTCTGGTAATTTATTATACCGTGGGGCCTCTTCAGCATGAGTCACTTCCTCGGGCAATGCTCCAAAGTCTCTGCTTTCTGGCCAGTCCATGATATCTTCCGGGATTCCAGAGCCGTTGGGGTTTCCCATTCAGGCCCATGGTGTGATTAGCACTACCCACTTACTCCACATAGCATTGGTTGCATGATGGGTAGAGGGGATGTTTCCTTTGAACATCCAATGCAGTACAGACAATTGCGGTGCCAAGAGAAGCTGAGCTTCAGTATGAACTACTTCTGAAGCATCTTGAACCCCTTCATATGCTGCTAGTATCTCCTTTTCAGTTGGGGTGTAGTGGGCCTTAGATCCTCTATACCCACAGCTCCAAAACCCTAGAGGCTGACTTTGGATCTCTGCAGGTGCTTTCTGCCAGAGGCTCCAGCTGAGGCCACGCTCCCTGGCAGCAGTGTAGGGCACATTTCTCACATTTGGTCCTGTCTGGACTGGCCCAAGGGCTACCACATGAACAATTGCCTGACTGATCTGTTCAAATGCTTGTTGCTGCTTGGGGACCCAGTTGAAATAGTTCTTCTTTCAGGTCACTCAATAGAGAGGACTTACAAGTTGACTATAACCTGGAATATGCATTCTCCAGAATCCCACAATGCCTAGGAATGCCTGGGTTTCCTTTTTGTTCACTACTGGGGACACGGCTATTATTTTATTGATCACATCTGCTAGGATGTGATGACGCCCATCTTGCCATTTTATTCCCAAAAACTAGACTTCTCGTAAAGGTCCTTTGACCTTGTTTTATTTTATAGAAAGCCAGCTTTCGGCAGAATCTGGATTTTCTCTTCCCTTTCTCAAACATTTCCTCAGCTGTGTTGCCCCACACAGTGATGTCACCAATGCACTGCAAGCTTTCTGGGGCTTTGCCCTGTTCCAGTGCAGTCTGGATCAGTCCATGGCAAATGGCAGGGCTGTGCTTCCACCCCTCCGTGGCAGTCAATTCCATATTGGACACCCTTCCACATCAAAGCTAACTGTGGCCTGCACTCTGCTGAAAAACGGATTGAGAAAAATGCATTGGCAATATCAGTTATGGCATATCGCTTGGCTGCCTTTGACTCCAGTTCATACTGGAGTCCTAGCATGTCCAGTATGGCAACACTTAATGGTGGTGTGACTTCATTCAGGCCACAATAGTCCACTGTACACCTCCACTCTCTCTCAGACTTTCACACTGGCTATATGGGACTATTAAAGGGCAAGTGAGTCTTGCTGATCACTCCTTGGCTCTTGAGTCAATGAATCGGCTCCTGGATGGGAACAAGGGAGTCTCAGTTGGGACAATATTGATGCCAGTGCACCGTCATGGTAGCAAATGGCACTTGCTGTTCTTCAAAACACAGCAGCCCCGCAACAGAAGGATCGTCCAAGAGGCCAGGCAAGGCAGACAGCTGTTTAATCTTCTCTGAATCTGCAGTGGCTACATCAAAGGCCCAGTGGTACCTCTTTGGATCCCTGAAGCACCCTCTTTTGAGACAGTCAATGGCAAAGCTATATGGGGCCTCTGGACTGGTGACAATAGGATGCTTCTGCCATTTGTTTCCTGTTAGGCTCACCTCAGCTTCTAACACAGACAACAACTGGGATCCCCCTGTCACTCCAGAAATCCAGATGTGTTCTGCCCCCTTGTATACTGATGGCATTAGGGTACACTGTGCACTGGTGTCCACCAAAACCAAAGTAAATCCAGTTGTCCCCTTCCTCTGCTTGGCCGGAGGGGGGGTTCCCCTATTCCCAATCAGAGCATTCATTACCTGACTCCTGTAATTGCAAACCAGAGGTCTTTACACCATGAAAGGAGCCCATATGTATCTCTGTTGCCCAGGCTATGCTACAAGGACTATTCATAGGTGTGATCCTACTACAGACCAGCATGGTCCTTCCATGGTAGAAGGTGTGGGGTTCAAACCCACATGGACATAAGTCCATTGGATCAGTATCAGAAAGAGGAGAGGGGTCCTTAGCCCATCTGCTGCATCTTGGGAATTGCTCAACAGCAACCAGAGCAGTAATCTTCCTGAAAGGACCCTTTTTTACCACTGCTTTTTCCCACAATTCATGTACACAGACTTCTAGGGCCAAGGCAGGTGCACCGTCCCACTTCCTCATATCCTCCCCACAGTCACACAGACAGAACCACAGGATGGCACATGGCATGTGCCCGTGGTTCCCTTTCCTTTGAGCAGAGAAAGGCCTGCTCATGGTAGCTGAGATGCTGGCCTGCAGGGGCAAGGAGGGAGAAAGATTATCCACATTCTCTTTGAGTTGCCAGACCTTGTGCAACAGCCTTTCCACAGCTGAGATGCAGGCCTATAGCAGGGAGGGGGAATTGAGATTCGCTTTGAATCGCCGGAGCTGGCAGATCAATCTATGCAAAGTTGGTGCCTTGATGTCAGCCCAATCCATCATTGCCAGATTGCTGGAGCATGACATCGGTGTGCTCTGTACAGACTTCTGCCACACAGACGGTGTGCACTGTACGTCATTCAGATCTTTGGGAGCCCGATTATTGTCCGTGTCACTGTAGACCACCTCCGCCACCGCTAATTCCCTCAGACACTGGATACCTTCCTCTGTAGTAGTCCACTTGCCTCACTGGGTTACAATATCTTCCTTAAGAGGGTACCTTGTCTTCATGCTTCATAAGACTACAATATACAATATCTTCCTTAAGAGGGTACCTTGTCTTCATGCTTGCCACCTCTGGAGGCTGTGAGTGGCTAACCCCCTTCCGCTCCCCCCTTAAACGCTCTTCCGATCCCTCTGTAAATCCCCCAGTCCCTGGCAATGGATCCCAGCTGCTGTGTTTCCCTACCTTCTAGTTCCAGACTATTAGCCCCACTATCCCAGCACTGGAGCAATCAGGTAGCAATTCACTCTTTCCACCTATCTTGCAGTTTGGTCATGGATAGGGACCAGGTAGTTTCCACCTCTTACAATTTCCATCTCTTTCCTCCCCATCCTGCCACAGAATAGGCTGCCTCTTCTGATTCTTCCTCTCTCCCCCTCTCAGGAGGAGCTGCTGCTTCTTCTACTAACTGAGTTGACCTCTGATTCCACTGATTCATCTTGACTACAGAAGCAACTATTACAGTTGAGGGTTTGGTCTGTGGTTTAGTGTCTGTTTGTGTGGTCTCAGAGCAAGAGACCTTCTCAGTGCCCATTTGTGGGCTCTTAGATCGGGATACCCTCTTGCATCTCTGAGGGCACTGGACAGTGGCTTGATAGGCATGGGCTAGGTCCCAAAACAGCTTTAGAAGTCACTGTGTTTTACCTCCCCTCCTTCAAATGGTGTATTAGTTTGATGGGTTCATGAGCCTGTTCAGGTGTGAAATCCCAAGCTATCGGAGGCAATAATGACCCTACGCACCTGCCCAACTCCTCCCACACGCTCTGCCACCCCAGGGATCAATCGCCTTAGAGCATGTTCCTGTGTTGCATCCCCAATTAGTTGTTTAATCTTATGAACAATAATCAAAATCAGCATCACAACACACACCAGTATGAACAGTCTGATTACATGAGGATATTGAAGGAACTGAGAAGCCATTACATCAAGGCTATAAAAACCTATCCTGGAGGAGACAAAGGGATAGGTACCATTCTTTCTTCTCTCCACAAAATGTCTCTCAGAGGAGAAAAGGGGAAAGGTACAGTTGCTGGTTTTGTCTATGAGATGGTTCTTGGGAGTACTGGGACACCAGCAATGTAGGACCCAAATACCAGATTAGGCTGAAGGCCAGTGGTTTTATCATAGCTCTCCCAAGCAAAGGAAAACAAAGTGATAACACACTAAACAGCAAAATCTGAAAACAGTCATTAATGATTCTTGGAGCCTGTTGTACAGCAAGAAAGGAATCAAGCATCGGAATATTTGAGGAAACACATAAGTCAGCACCCAAAGTAAATATGCCAGCATCATGATCTGCAACAGCCACTCAAATAACAACTTACCTAAACAGGTATAACAGCTAGAAGTTTAATCTAGCACACTCTAATCAAGTCTGTTATTATCTCGAAGGCCTTGAGCCCCATGCTGGGCACCAAAAAAGACTGTTGTGGGTTAACCCCAGTAGGCAGCTAAGCACACACAGTCTCTCACTCACTTCCCCCCCTCCCAAGTGGGATGGGGGAAGAGCAAAGGAAGAGTAAAAGCAAGAAAACTTGTGAGTGGAGATAGAAATTGCTCAGTAAGTAAAGGTGAAGTGGAAGAAGAGAGAAAGAAAATAAACAAAACAAATGATGCAAAGGCAATCACTCACCACCTCCCAAGGCTCACTGATGCCCAGCCAGTTCCCAGGCAAAATATGGCTAACCTCCCTAAACCCCCTCCTCTCCCTTTTAATTGCTGAGCATGATGTTACATGGCATGAAATATCTCTTTGGTTAGTTCGGGTCATCTGCTTGGTTTTGTGTGTGTGTGTCCCCAACCTTTTGTGTGTCCCCCAATCTCTTCATTGGGGGGCAGAGGCAGAAACAGAGAAGGCCTGATGCTGTGCAAACACTGTTCAGCAAGACCTAAAACACTGGTGTGTTACTAGTGTTGTATTGGTCACAAATCTAAAACACAGCACCCTACAAGCTGCTATGAAGAAAATTAACTCCATCCCAGCTAGACCTAGCACACTAGCATAGCTAAAACCAAAAATCTAATAGATAAAACAGCTCAGCCTTGTAGAATCATCTTGAAACTGGCTAGCCAAAATATAACATTACTTTACCTGTCTCTATCATGATTAAGATGACTGTCTATTCAATCATCCATTAAAATAAAGCTATGTCCCAGGGATTAGACAAACGAAATTATACAAGATTGTGAATTACATTTAAATTGTCAAATTAAGTACAGGTAAGTGTAACAGTTTTACATCTTTCGAAATTGAATTCAAGTTTTAGCAGACTGCTCTTTCACATAGTTATTTAAATAATCAACTTATAATTAAATACCTGGCATTTCTTTAGTTCCCTCTTTAGCTGAAGAATTGTGATGTGATGTGGCTCTTGGCTGGTCCCTGTCCCTGTGTCAGTTTCCTGCATGGTGAGAGCTTCCTTCCTTACTTCCTGTACCATAGTGATCCAGCTCTGCAACCTGTCCCGCTGACTTCTTTTTAAGCTAACATCATCATTCAAATCAACCAGAAATGGGAAGGCTTCATCTACACAGTTTCTATAACTGAAGCATTGAACCTGAAGCCGGGTGAGCTGCTCCTCAAGTGAACTGATACGAGTTCTTTCTTGATTTGAGTTGTGTGAACACTGATTACTGACTTGCTGGTTCTGCAAAGCTTCTCGAAGCAATCTGATTTCAAGTTCCATTTCATCAATCCGGTCTTGATCAGGGTTGTAATTTACAACTGGTTTATTTCTAATGTTTTTGGCTCTGTTGGCATATTTGAGGGAATTTAAAGATTCATCAAAGTCTGATGAGGATGGACTTATACACGTTATCATGACAGTCTTGGCATTTCCTCCAAGGGAGTCTTTCAGAATACGAGTGATTTTAGCATCCCTGTATGGAATATGTACACTTTTCCTTTTTGGGTCTCCAAGGGCACTGATGACGTTTCCCAAGGCCAACAGACCACTATTGATCTGAATTGATTCTTTGAAGCGTTCACCAGTATTTCCAGTCTTTGTCACCCTCTCTGATCCTGCCAAATCCACAAAATGAAACTTTGAAGCAATCATCTGGACTGATTTCCAAGATGAATCCTGTGCAGCATCAGTATTTTTTTGAGACTCTGCAGGCTGTTTCTGACAAATACTGATGGTAAAAATGGCGTGAGATCGACTAGAGTGCTCATTCATTTGTGTTGTGCCTGTGTGACGAGCTGCATTGCCACTTTCCAGCAGGCTTATCACTTCATCTGCACATTCTACTTGGAATTCCTTAGCACCAACAATCACTTCAAACACCAAACCAAAGAAAGTAAGAATAATTAATTCTAAACTCTTCAGCAAAAGTTTACAGCAATTAGGAATAGTCAAACTATAAACACAAATTAGTGAAATATACAAGCTTGCATTATTATGAGGTCATAGCATATAGCTATAGAAAAATAAGGTATCGATATGTGAAAAGCATGAGGTATAGCACATCTGAAACCTGCAGATATTTAATATATGGGTGTATTGTGTCATAGCATTTGAAACAATATCTAAACACAATACAGAGATTTACTCATTTACACATTGCCATATGCAATTTGCAATAGTGCTATCTAGAAAAAGTATGAGCAAAGTCAGCTCAAAGGATATTTTGCCAGTTTAAAAAAAGAAAAGACTAAAAACAAAAAAGTTTGTAGTAGAAATGATTCCTAGCCTATGGTAAGAACAGAATTTCTGTTCTATATAGCTCAGGTAGTTGGGCCTTTTGGACAGGTACCTATTAGTAATCCAATAATGCGGAAGTGTACTTCTACCAAGTACTCCTACCAAGCATATTTTTTGTCGTTTGTTTTAATGAAGGATGGAAAACGTCCTAGCACAATCAACCGAAGCTGACTCGAACTGTACGGAAGACAAATAGTTTAAAATATATTGCGGGGTCCTTATGAAGCAATGATATTGTCTGCAAGATTTGTGCTAAATTAGTGTCTTCTTCCAGCTACAGACAAGAAAACCAGGCCAGCTCAATGGAACAGTATATTAATATTAGCGCACACACAATAATTAGCATATAAAGAATAAAGAAAAACAAAACAAAACAGATTATACAGTTCCAGAATAAAGTATCTCTGTAGTGGATTCTTCTAGTATTTTCATGTAGTAGACAGGAGAACTATAGGGTAAGTGTTAATTTCAAAGCCTCCAAAAAATATCAGATGCTACTTTTAATGAAATGTTCTCTTCCCCTCATTTCATAGTGAAAGGAGGGCAGATATTTACAGTATAAGTGGCTTAACAATTATAATTTTGAGGGCAGAAGCAAAGGTTTAACCTTGAAATACCTACTCAAGTGAATAATCACACACTGGTGTGTTTCTAGACAGAATTTGCAGAAGCAATAATGTATTTCTACTTCATCATTTATTGCCATTTCTGATGGAACATTTATATCATTCACAGGCATCTAAACCCAAAACTGCTTCAAATCAGCTGAGTTTATATTCTGAAAACGTAACTTTTTTCTAGTATTAGTAATGAATAAGCTCTTTCAAGAGAAAGCCAGAATAACTTGGGCACACAACTGAAACCAAACACACCAAATTTTAGAGCTGAAATCCTACCTGTATTTCCCTTTTCATCTTCTCTTATGTGTAATTCTTTCACAGAGGTCTCCAACTCCAATAAATCTCGAAGTTCTTCCTTGTAAACCTCTATATAAGATACTTTCACATGGAAGTCAATGTTACAGTTTTCAGAAATATGCTGAAATAATTCCTGAATAGCCCGTGGAATTATACCCTTTTCATTCTCTGCAACGGATGCTAAAATGTAAGCAAAGATGTCACAGAAGCTTGCAGTCATTCTGCCACATAAATTACAAAGACTGAAGATTGAGAGAAGTCTGTGAGATTTGCTACTCAATATACTAAGGAATCTGAAGAGCTCAGTGTTCCCAAGGATTTTTGTAAATATTTGTTTTTCTGGGGTTCAGAATATTTGTTTGCATCCATTAATAGGATTCAGAGTTAAGTTCTAAATTACATAATGTTATAGTCGCAGAAGTTATGAAAAATACGGAGTCTACTTTAAATCTATACTGCTCAGAGTATAGATTTCTTTATTCCTACTCATTATGGTTGGCAACAACATTGCAAGGGTTTGAGAAACTATAAATTCCACCTAAATACAGTAAAGACCATTAGTAACTTGGTGAGACAAGATTTATGACCAACATTTACAGTAATTTCCTACTTTTTCAAAGTAGGTATGGAACACTAATGCCAAACTCTGTTCTTATTTTTTTTACTATTCAGCATAGGACAATGCTTCCATAAATAATTTGTGTTCTTTATTCAACAATATGGAAACTAACTGTTTGTCCATGAGAGGATACCAAGAATCTTTTTTACCAAAAAAATAAAGGGTTGCTCACATCTAACCATAAATTTAGTAAATATACGTGTAAAACCAAAATTGCTGAGCTACGAACAGTCTTAGATTGTGACATCCACTACCTAAAGCATTTGGCTGGCAATGGTACTTACAAAAACATTAAATAACTACTACTAGAGGAAAGGCAAGTGAAGTTATAACAGTAAGCAGAATTAAGAGGCCAATTGTATGAGGTTCAACAAGGCCAAGTGCCGGGTCCTGCACTTCGGCCACAACAACCCCATGCAGCGCTACAGGCTTGGGGAAGAGTGGCTGGAAAGCTGCCTG